GTATGTCTGGGCCATCGACAAGTGCATGATAACTTTAAAGGCAAAAACAATGGTAAGCTCTATTAATACTATTGCATTAAAAATTTTACTTTCCTTGATTTATTATATATACATATTTCTATATATTATGTGTATATCCCAAATCAAATAATTAACATGTCTTCTTAACAAGTATTTAAAACATTTTTGTTGCTGCATCCAGGACAAATTTTGATGACGTTTCTACATTCAAAAAGATACTATGGTTCTACGGTTCTACATACGACCAGCGAAAGCAACAATCTCGACTTTGACAAATTAAATGATTTGAAATATCTGAGAAGAACTGCCAATATTGTCTATGACATATATATAATCAACATGTTGTTTATTATATAATATATCGTACAATTACGTACTATACTTTATATATATATAAATATAAAATAATAACAATGTATATATAAGTACACATTATATTTTATATAATAATTAGATATGAGTATAGAAATATTTGCGATTATAACGTAAATCGATTGAACGAACAATGCACTTTCTGCAAATATGTATAACGTAATAACTATTCATTAATCAACACTTTCAAATATTTAAATCTCATTTAATTTTATTATGTTTTTATACTTATTTAATCTTATTATTTTATGTAATTTGAATTTGATAGAATAATTTTTGTGGAGGCAATATCTAAAATGCATTATGCAAATTAAAATTGATTTCAATTTTTAGGTAGTATAGATTTATGAATTATTGTATTGATTGAATGTAACAAATATAATAGAAAACTGACACCTAATCATTAATAAGAAAGCATTTTAAAATAAATGTGTTATGATTTATTCAATCCAATATATGCTATTTTACTGTCAAATACGGTTTATTTATTCCACGTATTTTCTCTTTCTTATCGTTCTAATAATACCGAAAAGTATTAATTGCAATTGATATGGAATGTTCCTATATTTGATAAGCAGAAAATATGCAATGCAAAAATTATAGCAATGTATAATACTTTCAAAATAGTTACTTTATTAATGTACTTGTACTCATGTCTATTTTTTATTTTATTAATGCCAATTTTGTTATAATATTTCATAATCGACTTTCATTTGTTTCTTTGCAATTTTGTACATAAATACCATATATCTAATCCAGAATTTCTTGAAATTCGATGTTTTACCATCAAATTTTTCCACGTCTCTGTTTAGCTTACTAATTATTAGTTATTCGCACTCAATCGAGTAAAACAATCCGAATATCTACACCAAACAGTCAATATAGATATAAATAAAAACATTTTACAGAATGTGTCGTGTGCAATTATTGTAAAATGCTACCATACAAAATCCGTCAATACATATTTAAAAAAAAAACGTAGAAACAAAAAACAAAAAAAGGTTCAATGGTTGTGACAGCATTTCTAAAAAATTGCCGATTCACACGTGTAATGCAATTCCTCTCCTTACAATCGTACAATCGTAATTACGAAAAACATTAAGCAGATATTTATTATCTCAACATAACACACTTTTAGAAAACGAGAACACAGCTTATGCCTTTATATAAAAGCACAGAATAATGATTATTGCCCGTAGGGTGAAGAATGTGGTCAGTTCTTAAGCTTAGCTTTTCTAGTGACCTAACAAGTATATATTCAAACGACATTTAGAGACGTGAGCAGTCGAACAACTCACGCAAATACACAAGGAGAAGCCAGTGTGCCTAGATCATCAATAAAAACAAAACGTTAAAGTAAAAGTAACGGTAAGCTTTATTAATACTATTATATTCAAAATTCTTATTAATATTATAATATTAATTTATGTTATCTTGTTTGCTTTTTTTTCCTTGATACTTAGTTATTTGCTATTGCTATTGCTATTGCAACAGTCAGAATGTCTACATCAAACAATTGGGAGATAAAATATTTTGAAAAGTCTGAGAATTTTCGAGCAAAATGTATATCTTGTGGAGATACATTTACGTATTGTAATATGGAACCAGCAAATTATCATTTCGACCAAAAACATCCAAATACAGAACAAGAGACTGTTATTTGGAAACAGCTGTATTTTAAAAGTTATAGCAATTCACACTGGCAATGCACTTATTGTCCGCAAACTTATTTGAAGACAACATCGTCCCCCATATTATGTGAACATTTGCAATTTGTGCATAATAAATGTCCAATAATAAAATTCCCATGTTATATGGGCTGTATAGAGGAGCATATTAAACAGCGCGATGATTATAGCGCGCAGTGTAAGAAATGTGGTCAGATTATACAGTTTAGCATTTCCCCTCGACTAGAGGACCACATTTTCACACGTCATTTCAGCATATGGATAAACGAAGAACAGAATGCAAATAAACAATCAGAAATCAATATGCTTGGGCCATCGACAAGTGCATGATAACATTAAAGGCAAAAACAATGGTAAGCTCTATTATTACGATTACATTAAAAATTTTTACTTTCTTTGATTGATTATATATACATATTTATATATATTATGTGCATATCACAAATCAAATAATTAACATGTCTTCCTAACAAGTATTTAAAAAAATTTAGTTGCTGTATCCAGAACAAATTTTGATGACGTTTTTACATTCAAAAAGATACTACTGTTCTACGGTTCTACATACGACCAGCGGAAGCAACAATCTCGACTTAGACGAATTAATTGATTTGAAATATCTGAGAAAAACCAATATATCTATGACATATATATAATCAATATGTTGTATTATATAATATTTCGTACAATTATATACTATATTTATATGTATAAATATATGTATCATTTCTATTACTTTATATATATATATAAAAATTAATAGCGATGTATTTATAAATACACATTACGATTTATATAATAATTGCATAATTATATATGTGTATAAATTTGAATTTATGACGTAAATCGGTTTAACGAACAATGTACTTTATGCTAACATGTATAACTTAATAACTTAATAATATTCATTAATCAACACTTTCAAATATTTGACTCCCATTTAATTTTATTACGTTTTTATACTCATTTATTTGCATTATTTTAAGACTTTTTATGTAATTTAAATTTGACATAATAATTTTGGTGGAGATAATACTTAAAATGTATTATGCAAATTAAAATTAATTTACATTTTTGTTAGTGATTTAATTACAACTTTTTAAATTATTCTATTATTTTAATGTAACAAATATACTAGAAAACTGACACATTACCATTAACAAGAAAGTATTTTAAAATAAATATGTTGTGATTTAGTCAATCCAATGTGCTATTTTACTATCAAGTCCGGTTCATTTTTTTCGTGTATTTCCGCTTTCTTCGTTTTTATAATATCGAAAAACATTAATTGTAACTGATTGTAAAAGGTCCTAAATTTTATGAGCAGATAATATGTAAAACAAAAAATTCAGCTATGTATAATATTTTCAAAATTATTACTATATTAATGAACTTGTGCTTATGTTTATTTTTTATTTTATTAATACCAATTTTAATACAATATTTCGTTATTGACTTTTATTTGTTTCCGTGCAATTTTGTACAAAAATACTATATATCTAATCCGGACCTTCTTCAAATTTGATATTTTGCTATCAAATTTTTCCACGTCTCTATTTTGCTTACTAATTATTAGTTATACGCACTCAATCGAGTAAAACAATTCGAATATCTACACCAAACAGTCAATATAGATATACGTAGAAACATTTTACAAAATATGTCGTGTGCAATTATTGTAAAATGTTACTATACAAAATCCGTCAATACAAATTTCAGAAAAAAAACGCCAAAACATAAAAACAAAAAAAAAAGGTTTAATGGATTTGACAGCATTTCGAGGAAATTGCCAATTCACACGTGTAATGCAATTTCTGTCCTTACAATCGTACAAGTATAGTTACAATGAACATTAAGCAGACATTTATTATCTTAACAAAACACACTTTCAAAAGACGGAAACACAGCTTATGTTTTTACATGAAAGCACAGCATAATGACAGTTGCGCGTAGAGTAAAGAGTGTGGTCGGTTCTTAAGCTTAGCTTTTCGAGTGACCTAATAAGTATATATTCAAACGACGACATCTAGATACGTGAGCAGTCGAACAACTCACGCAAATACACAAGAAGGAGCCAGTGTGCCTAGATCATCAATGCACAACTGTAAAGTAAAAGTAACGGTAAGCTTTATTAATACTATTATATTCAGAATTCTTATTAATATTATAATATTAACCTGTGTTATCTGATTTGCTTTTTTTCCTTGATACTTAGTTATTCGCTATTACTATTGCAACAGTCAAAATGTCTACATCAGACAACTGGGCGTTAAAATATTTTAGAAAGTATGAGAATTTTCAAACAAAATGTATACTCTGTCCACATACTTTTACGGATTGCGATATTGAATTTGCACATCATCATTTCAATCAACATCATGCAAATACAAGTAGAAGAAACGTTTCTTGGACACAGCACTATTTTAAAAGAACTAGCGATTTATGCTTTAAATGCAATTATTGTACGCAAATTTATTGTACGGGAACATCAGTGACAATATTACGTGATCATTTGCAATATAAACATAATGTAGTTCCACCACAGACAGAACCGTATTATATGGGCTGTATAGAGGAGCATATTAAACAGCATGATGATTGTAGCGTGCGATGTCAGAAATGTGGTCAGATTTTACAGTTTAACTTTCCCTGTAGACTAGAAGACCACATATACACAGATCATCCCGCCATATGGACGTACGAAGAAGAGACTGCATATAAACAAATAGGAATCAGTATGTCTGAGCCATCGACAAATGCATGATAATTTTAAAGGCAAAAACAATGGTAAGCTCTATTAATACTATTCCATTAAAAATTTTACTTTCCTTGATTTATTATATATACATATTTCTATATATTATGTGTATATCCCAAATCAAATAATTAACATGTCTTCTTAACAAGTATTTAAAACATTTTTGTTGCTGCATCCAGGACAAATTTTGATGACGTTTCTACATTCAAAAAGATACTATGGTTCTACGGTTCTACATACGACCAGCGAAAGCAACAATCTCGACTTTGACAAATTAAATGATTT